GTTTTACCTCAACCTGGATCTAACTCAATTTAAGAGCAAAACATAGAGCTTAAATTGTCTTCCAGGAATCAGAGTGACAAAAGAACTTCCAGTTTCTAAGTGCTTTTACTGTGCTATCAACCTGCTAATTTGTGGAATTTTATGACAGGGCAGATCACAATCCACCTGTAATAGAACTGTATTCCCATTGCTGGACACCTTATTTATTTTTCTAACCTCAAAATTATAAGGAGTGAAAGGGCACAACACCATGCAATTTTTCAGCAGGCGTAGAAAGGAAAATGTGCAACTAAAGAACAAGAAAAAATATTTTGGAGAATGTAGACAATATATTTCTCTGCTTGCATACAGAGCCATTTTATGTCTCTCAAAGCAAGCCCTCCTCTCTCCCAAGTTTCTGCAATTTTAGAAAGAGAATAAATAACTCCACGTCACAGTTTTTTCTTCTGAGTCAGCATGCAAGGCGGTCACTGGAAAGCTGGAACAAAAGGGTGGAGAGAGGTTAAAATAAAATAGAAGTCTGCAGTAAACTCTGGTTGTGAAACTGTCCCCAAAACTAAGGCAAGTTTAAAAACTTGAGTGGGAAAGTTCTCTAGCCAAACTGTGAAAGTGATTAGAAAATCAAAAGCAAATTTGAAATTAAATATGTATTAACTAAATTGTCAAACAAGTTGGACTGGTGAAATTGACTAGAAAAGGAGAATTTACAGCCTCACTAAAAACCATATTTATTCCAAAGTATGGTACTGAAAGAAGGATGTGCAATAAATAAATCCTCCTTTTCCATCTCCTTTAAGGACTCTATCCATATAGACAGGTCAGGCAGCGGGTAGAGCAGACGAGCCTTAGCAATAACTAATGTGAGACCCCATCAGCTTCAGCAGGGCACCCAAGATGTTGGCCAACTTTTGTGAGCAGCTGAGGTGCTAGCCCCAGGCTATTTTGTGCATGGCCCAGGCTGAGGCACTTGTAGCAGTGCACTGGCATTCAGTCAGCTAAGGAAAAACCTAGGACACTAGCCACCACTACACCTTAAAGGTTCAGGTCCTGGAAGCTTCAGGAAGTGCACCTAAGAACCTGGAACCTGGTCCAGAGCAGCAACAGACAAGGGAAGACAGCTCAAATCTTCCCAGCACCTAGTCAAGACAGCAAGCCATACCAAGGTATCTGTGGGATTAAAGTAGTCAAGAGGGCCAGGGATAGCACTGAAGACCAAACAGAATATTAGGCCAGGTTAAGGAAATTTAAAATATAGCATAGACTCTCTAAAGGGAAACAAAGATAGGAAAAAATTAGGACTATAGAAGGTAGAATTGTAGTCTATAAAATCATAGGTATATCATAGAGGGCATAGGTAAGATAGAAGATAGGAAATTAGGAATTAGGAAACAAAACAGTGTACACTTGACTATGTGCTCTCAAGTCAGCATTGACTGTAGCAACCACATAGACCTTCTCCAGGATGATCTGTCCCAATTTTGTCCTTCAGGGGTGTACCCATCACTGCTGTAATTGAGTCCATCTACCTTGCTGCTGATGTTCCTCTTCTTCTCTTTCCTTCCATCCTTTCCCATTTATCTAGAAAGCTAGGTCTTTGCATAATATATCCAAACTGATAACTTTGGTCATTTGTGCTCCAGTGAGAACTCTGGACTGATTTGTTTTCTTGGCTATCTATGGCATTCTCAGAAGTCTTCTCCAGCACCAGAATTTTAAAAAATGTCACTATTCCTTCAATCCTCTGATCTGGTCTATCATTGTAATAAATATTTTGTCTTGTCTTTGGATCCTGCTTCTTCAAAGTTCAACTTTTGCTTCCATAGAATGTCATAGGAAAAAAAAAATTGTCTTCACAATTCTGATCTTTGTAGGCATAGACAAAGGCCTTCATTGCTATCCTAACAACTGCTAGCTTAGGATATATTTTTGACTGCTGGTTCCTTATACATTGATAGTTGATCCTGAAAGGCAGAAACTGTCCACAGCTTCAGTGTCTTTGTTGTCAGTGTTAAAGCTGGTTGCTGTTCCTTTTTAATTAGCTTGGTCTTCTTTATATTTAACTCTATCTCCCATTTTTTCCACTGTGCTACTAGAGCTTGCAGACCATTTGCATTTTCAGCTGTAAGAGTAGTATCGTCAGCATAGCTCAAGTCATTGATGTTTCTTCCTTCAATTTTGAAACCATGCTCATATGTTTCTAGTGCTACCTCGATATTCCATCAGTTCCAGTAGCCTTCAGTTTTTTATTGTTTCCCAGCTTCATAAGATAGCAGTTTTCAGCAACTGTGATTAGAGGTAGCTCTACCAAAAAAAGATGGTTGGGAGGCCTTGGTTTGTCCACTCCTGCTTTATGATATTGTTTCTCCATTGCCATAAAAGGAATATTTTTTTAAAATGACCTTAATACTTTTGCTTTCAGCCACTGTGATTTTTAACACACTCCATATACATGTGAGCCCTGAGAGAATAATGAGAATTAGTGTCCTTTGGTAAATGAAGGAGGAAGTTGAATTGAAATAAACCTTCTAGCCCGTGAGAAAGAACTGGTGGAGTTTTATTGCAACCAGATAGCTATAATATCCTATCCAATACCTGTTTCACTATATTAATAATTGTGTATATGTGTAGCTTATTTTAATTTAGTCAGTATTCCAGAGAGGAGAATAAAGCTAAAGGAAACACACAGCAGAAATCTTTATTCTCTGTGATCTTTCAGAGCAGCTTCACTTGCTCTACACAGGCATCACAGCAATATACAAAATAAACATCACAAACATTACTATAAAACAAATCAAAATGTAGGAACATAAGTATTAAAATACAGAAGCACAGTCGGCAAGCAGCAGGACAATGATACAGTAATGCAGACATAAACATCCATATATATGTTATCTACACAGACTGAAGAAATGCTAGATTATTAATCTAATTTTATAAATGCTTGTTTTAAAATAAACTTTACAAGGCTATGGATAATTAAAACAAATTCAAAGAATATGATTTCACATGGCTCAGCTCTTAGAGTATCCCTCTCCTACTTATGCTGCCAAAATCTGCAACTAGATGCTAAGAATAACAGAGAGGGCTTCTTTAGATATACTGTATACAACAGAAAAGGAAAAGAATCAGTGTAGTAGGTTCTCAATGAAGAAAGCGAAATGCCAACACTAACAAGGGAAAGTCAGAGCTACTCCATTCCTAGTCTGGTTCAAACTTCTCCAATAAAAAATGTGAACTGTGGGGATCAGGATGAAGGGATAGGACTGAAGCCTGAGACTGATACAAACATGGTCAGGAAGTAACTCTTTATTTTGATTACGTTTAACTCTTCAGGACCAGAAGAAACTATCTGATAGTCTGGCCAAGCCATTGTGTACTGTCTGAGAAATCCTGGGGAACTATCAAGCATCATATAACTAGGGGATGAATTAAGTGTGGACAGGATAGCATGATGTTGAATATACAGCTGACTTAAAAATCAAGTACATGTGCTAGATATTATTTATCTACCTTGTGGACAAATTAACCACCATTAAATGTGGTAAAACTAAATGTTGGGTCTTATTGATAAAATATACATGAACAAATCTCCAGAGTTTTTAAAGAACTTAAATGTACAATTATATCATACAAAACATGTTAATATGAAAAAGAGTTTAAGCTGAATCCAGGTTATTAAAGGCTGGATAACTTAACATCTGCTATGGATAAATGGTTGGAAAGTATTACTCAAAATGAAATGGTCAAATACATGGAAAAACACTGAACAGGAATCAACACGGCTTTTGCAAATGTCACTTTTTACAGTTCTTGAAAGTGTCAGTGAAGATGAATGTCAGGAATTTTGGAGAAAGCAAAAGGAAGTACTTTACAACAGAAGTAGTCTGATGGATACTTTATGTATTTATTTATTATACTTTTAATTGACCCAATAACCAGAGTTCCCTAGCAAATTACACATTTTCTTCATGAGATCAGATAAATTCTGGTAGTTACAATAACTTCTCCCTCCATTCTCCAAATAGGACACTGCTGATCTACTGAGAAATTGGTACGCCTAAAGTATTTATACATATGTCCATGTTACACTCAACCACCATTTCCAGCCATGTGCCTACCTGCTGGGAGATTTTTGCACTTAGCACAAAGCCACATTTAAGTACATATATATACTCCTTCTTCCATTTTAGTCTCATTGGTTTATAGTGGGCTCTTTCGCTGATTTATAGTGGGCTCCTGCATGCAGCTTCAGATAGGTTTAAAACAGATTAGATATCTATAATTATATATTCACATTTTAAGGTTAACCAGCCTTTTGATCAGTCATGACAGCTACATAGACTAAGAGGCAGGATACTTCTGAACACTTTTTCCTGAAGAACAGCAGAGGGAAGGGGGTTTCTGCCCTGCTCATCCTATTTATGGCCACTGCATTTTGGACACTTTGATCTGAGCCAGCAAGGCTCACGTAAAGTTGACTAAAAACTCCGAAAGTTTGTCAGGGTTTGCATAACATGCCAAGTCATTAACCATGATTTACAAAACACAAAGTTTTGGTTCACACAACATACTAAGCCAAAAACCAAATAAGCCATATGACAGCATAGTTTAGTGCAAACCCAGTTCCTGAGTCAGGAATATTGTAAACCTGATTGGTAAACGGATACAGTCTTACATAGAAGAAAGCTTGGATAATCCTTCCCTCTGCTGCTTAGGGCGAAGTTTTTCTGAGGCACCCCCAGCCAGGTATCCTCCAGATGTGTTCAACTACCGCTCCCCCCATTCCAGGCGCAGCACGGCCTCGCTGTGCCGGCTAGGGAGGTCGGCGTTCCGGTTCTACACATCTGGCGGGCACCCGCCGGGCGACGGCAACCTCCGAGGCTCCCAGGCTTCGTCCGCCTCCCCGAAGGAAACGGAATGTCTTCCTGCTCTCGGGTGGGAGGAGGCTGGCTGGGCCCGGCCTACCGCTCCGCCTCCCACCCTCGCCCCGTCAAGAGCAGGCTAGCCCAGCGCGGGCCAGCGCGACGCATTCGCTCCCGGGCTGCTGGCCAAGACCGCCGAGAGCTGACGCGCGCTCCGTCACCGGCACGTTGCCTTGTGCCCTGGGCAGAAGCCTTTCCTCTTCTTCCGGCGACGCGATTTGCTACGGCGAGTCTTCCTCCGCTCCGTCCAGCCGGTTGGGATAACATCGCCTCGTGGGGTGTTGTTTTCCGGATGCGTGTCTTCGGCTGACGCGCAGGGATATCTCGGGGTCCTCGGAGGAGGCTGGGGCAGCTTTCGCCAGCGGGGTTGTGACGGGACTGCGCGCCTCGTGGGGCTTTGGCTCGGCGGCGCCCAGGTGAGAAACGGAGGGGCCGGGCCGCCGAGGCCGAGGGGAGACGCGGGAGGCAGGGGCAGTTGGGGCGAGCCCCCGGCCGGGGGGGGGGGGGGGGAGGTGTTGGGAACAGGCGGACTCAACCTGCCCCTTTCGCGGAGGACGCGCTTACGTTCCATCCAGGCTTTCTCTTCGGGGGATGATACGGTTTTGCCATTCTCCGAAAATGCGTGGGCCAGAGGCTTGTTGCAACATAATCTGGGGCCGGCCAGCCGCATTGGATTACAACTCCCATCACCCTCAGCCATCATCTCCAGAGCTGATGGAATTGTGATCGAATGTACCTGAATGGGGGAGGCTGCTCTGTTTAGTGTACGTGGCTTCATGTTGTCTGGACAATCCCCGGTGAAGATGCGAGGATTTTTATTTCTGTTTTGTGTACGACATATTTGCCGAGCAACAAAAAAGCAGTCGTTTGTTTGGAGAGGATGTATTAGATCTCTCGGTTTCTCCGTAACTGAATGTGGAGTTCTTTAAAGGATAGATTATTAGGATAGTACTTTAAAAACTGCGTGGATGAGGGAAACAATCACTGTGGGAATCAAAGACAAGGAGAGCTGTTCATTGGATTTCCCGTGCAATTATTTTGGCCAAGACGTTTTTTTCTTGCTTGAATAGAGGCCCACTTTCCAAACGATACTTGGATGATTTCTCATTAAATGCCTGAATTGCGACCCAGAAAGGCAACTACAACGTATTGATTTTTTTCCCCCAGTGTTCTGTTTGAGAATTCAAAATGCTAGTGTAGGCTGGAGGTGAATAAAAGTGTTCAAGTAGTTTGCAGCTGTCTTGTCATCAATCTAATAAATATTGTAAGTTCCAGTTAGGGGGCTTTTGAAATTTTTTATATCAGTAGTTTGCTCACGATTTGTTCCCTTTCCTAAAAGTGTCATATATAGACATGGCATGGCCTTGTTTAGAGGTTCATTTTGTGTTTGTTCATGTGTTAAGAATGAGTGAAAGAACTTTTGAATTTTCTGAAAAGGTAGGACTGAACTGCGTATCTCTCAAGCCTATAATAAGTGTGCGTAGTTCTGTTGGTTGCAAAACAGTGCTGCATATTCACACTTATATTGTGTAATTATTGATTAAGCCTTAAAATGTAGCAAGTTGGAGTGTTGTATTGGAAAATATTAGCTAAAGTATTGAATTATCAGTAATCTCGTTGAATTTCCAGTATTTAAATTTCTTTTGATCTTTCTGTGACATAATCCAGATAGGGTTTTTCAATAAATACAAATTGAGTTCAAATACCTGTTTATGCTAATGAGGAAGTTAACCTGAAATTACAGTATAAGCATTTGTTAATTAATACTTATTCCTGGTGAGATCACTTATGCATAACTGAATTTTATGATGTTTACTTGCAAGCTTGACCACTAGTATAAGGCAGGCTGCTGTGGGCTGCCAGATTTGGGCTGTGACAGATCTGAGAAACTCTTTACTGCCATCTGGTGGCCATCCAGAGATTTGCAGTCCAGATACGGTAACCCTAATTTCATGGCAGATAAAACTGGTAAACATTCTTTATCCTTGATGAAGAATGTGACTGAAATGGGTTGGGTTTTTGAGCAATAAATAATTTCCTACTGGCACTTGAGACATTTTCTCCACCCCTTTTCTTTTCATGGCCTGTTTTTTCTTTGTTAGTCTTTAAGGTGTCACACAATCCTTTGTTGTGTCTAATATTTAATGGAATTAAAATAGGCCTTCTGCACCATAATGGAGAATGTTTAATAGGGGATGATTCTGTTTAATCCTGTTTTTGTGTTTCTCCCAAAGAATAATAATATATACTTAGGAGTCTCATATATGCTCTGCAGCTTACAACTTGGCATTGCCAAATACATTAACTGAATGCTTGTTATAAAGTTAGGTGTTCATGTATTTAAAGATGTCCATGGCATTGTCAGGAAATCATGTGCCATCTTTTTGAGACTCATTAATTTATTCTAGTAAATGCATGTTTTTTTTCCCTTGAACTGTGTCTCCAAAATATTAATGCTGGGGGTTATTGTGCTGATGAAAGGTCGGCTAATTATTTAACCAACAGAGATTTGCATTCTAAGTTGTTATACAAAAGATATATTCAGCACTGAAGATACAGGTTTTTGATAAGTTTAGAGCATATTGTAGTTATATGACTAACTGCTGAAGTTCAGAATGTCAAGCTACCATAAACTTTTGAGGCCAAACTGTTTGGGAAACTTCAGAAGGAGGAGGAGAAGGAGCAGTACCATTGATGCAATAAGCTATTTACAAAAAAATGTTTATATCATTTGTAGAAAAATTAACAGCAGTGGTATTTTTACTAGGATGAGATATACAAACCTGAAAAAGTCACATTTTAATCCAATATAATATTTAAAACATTCCATATAATTATAGCTTCTTTTATATTTGAATGAGATAGTACATACATTTTTATTCTTCATGTTAAAACTGTATATTTCGAGTCATTTAAGTATGTATGTATAAGATATAAGATGATATAAGATATGAGAGCCAGTTTGGCATAGGGGGTAAGTTGCTGGCCTAGTAACCAGGAGATTGTAAGTTCTAGGCCTCCCTTAGGCATAAAAGCTGGCTGTGTGACTTTGGGACAGTCACTCTCTCTCAGCCCATCCCACCTCACAGGGTTGTTGTCGTAGGGAAAAATAGGAGATAAGAATATTAGGTATGTTCACTGCCTTGAGTGTGTGTGTGTATATATGTGTGTGTGTGTGTATAAATAAATAGTGGGATAAAAATATAATAGTATGTATAAACATCAGTAATAACAGTAAAACCAGCTTAGCTTTCTTTATTGTCAAAATATTTTAATTAGTCTAACCCCCCCCCCAGCACTTTTTGCACCCTTTAATTTTATATAATGGGTGTGGTATTGTGAAAAACTACAAATCAAAGTTTATTTGATACTGATGAGTATTTAAGAGTAATACAGTCAAAGTGATACTGCCCAAAACTGATACCAAAGAGTTAAACTAAAACAACAAAGCTTTATGATAAAATATGTGGGCCCATGGTGTCAAACTGAACAACCTCCCCTCTCCCCCATGGCTGCTTTATGACCTTTTCATTCACTGTATTCTTATACTGAATACAGGTACTCAGATTTTACCTTATCTCCATCAACTATAGTTTTAGGAGATTTAATTAAAAAAAACCCACATTATATCATTTTTGGCAGTATTAAGTACAGTATACTATCATTTCCTTTTACTGTACTCGGGGTCTGGTTTTGATCATGTTATCCTTTCAAGGTTCTATAACAGTATCAAAAAAATTGGATTCACATCTTGGTGCCAGGCATGAGTGTCCTCAGGCGTTTGCATGGCCCGTATTCTCTAAAGGCCCAGACACCAGAGGTGATGAGAAGGAGAAAAAGAACCAAAACAGTTGGCCTACATTTGTTTTAAAAAAACTTCTGTTAAAATAATATTCCATTGTAAATTAGAACAGTCAAGCCTTATACATTAGTCTTGAAGAGGATTATCTTCACTTTCAAAAGTAATTCCACAGTATGCTATACAAAAGTTATTTGTCTTGTTCATTATTTTAAAGACCTTTACATTTAATGGTCATTTGACTATGTGTGTGTGGGTGTATTGTATATAAGAAAGTTGGCTCCACCACCTCAGAATGAAAGAATTCTGATATAGGTATATCTTTGTAAGCTACAACAAATACACTATTTGAATGTAACCATGAGTAGTTGTTTTTTATTATATTTGTGAACCAATATTTATGTACTGTATTCTGTTTCCACTTTTAGATGAGTGAGTTTGGAATTAAAAACATGGATCAAGTAGCGCCTGTTTGCAACGCCTATAGAGGATTGTTCAAGGTAAGCTATGAGGAAAAAACAGACATATATAGTAAAGTACAGTTTAAACCCTGGGCAAGGCATACCAATTTAATGTATAAATATGTAATTGTATATGTTTATATTATGCTTTGCCAGCAATAATTAATAGTTTCAGTAATGAGCTATTACTGCTACTGATTTTAGAGATACAAATTTGCAGTATCATTTTAAAAAAAGAGAACAGAAAATAGATTTACTAGTGCTCTCAGCCAGCAATTAACTCCTGGCTGGTCATCTCTGCAAGATGTATCTAAGATACTGTTGATATAACTAAAATAATTTTCATATCATTGTCAATCTGCATTACAATATCTATACCATTATGTATCATATAATGTTCTTGATATTATTTATATACAATATTTCCATATAATTTTTAAAAAATTCAGATTCACTGATGTATTTGCTTGCTTTGATATTGTAACATAACCTTTTAAAAATCAACTGTGTGATTTTTGTAGCGACATTTAATTAGATACAATTAATTATATAGTACACTTAATTATATTAAAAAGCCCTTTTGTCAGTATTGCCTCAAATTCAAAATTCTTTAAAGAATATTTTACAGAATATGTACCAGAAAGTATTTACTTATTTCTTAGTTTAATAGTAAGCATGAAGGCTATCTGTTCACTTAGGTAAAAAGATAAATAATAATGTAATGCTTTTGATAAATTCTTATTATTAACTTGAGCTATGTCATTTGTTGATAGAGCTAGTTGTAAAGCACATTGAGTGCATAATGATTGACTCACATTGGCCTTAAGGGCACAGGCCCATCATTGTATGGCTTTTCTGAGTCCTTTAAGATTTGGAAGTGAGTGCCATTTTCTACGATTCCATAGCAACTCTGGCATAGGAAATAACATTTTATTAGAGCAGGCAGGATCTAATCTATAGAGGCTTTAAACGTGCTCGTTTTACTGTTTAAGTTCATGTTTTAAAAATGCAGAATAATGTTTGAAGTGCAGCATCCCTTTTAATCATTCTTACAGTGTTACTTTTTTTCCAGTGACTCAGTGTAAGGGTAATTTATTTACACAAAACAGAGGAGTTTCCAGATTATGTTGAAAGTGCTTGGCCTTTCCTCTAAATATTAGTGATGACTCAGATCTTTTCATCTATTAACACTGAAAGAATTTGTCATTACTAAGCCAGCTATCTGGTTTCTAATCATGTCATTTATACAACAAATTGCTCAAGTTCCTGATGCTGAATTTTCTAATTGTAAAATCCATAAGGATAGTTTCATTATTCTGGACTGAAACACTTTGATTAAATTTTATGTACATCTTGTGTTACTTAGAATCAAACTACTACTTAGTAGTTTGTTGCATTTGCTGTGATTTTGTAAAATTGAAGGTGGAATTCTATAACAATTCATTAGAAACTTGTGCTGGATTGATACTAAAATGCCTGGAGGTACTTCTGCCTCATCACTTTCATATACATACAGTAATGTAGATTAATACAGATAGTACCATGATCAAAATGAGATATAGATTGCATTTTTTATGTAAACTGAGGTGTTCCAGACGTGCATTGGTCCAGAACCTCTTCCATTTATTTATTTCTTTGTTTGTTTATCAAACTTGCATGCCACCCAACTCCCAGTGACTCTGGGCAATTTAACCTAGAACCAGGCTGTTTGAAAACCCCATTCTCCCATAGGAATCTACCCACATTTTATGGCCTCTGAAAAAGCTATTCTCACTGTCTTAACTATTACTTACGACATATTTGGCATGATCATGAGAAGGGCCTCACCTTTGGCTAACACAGTTATTATCATGTAGTTTGAGAAACATCTCCTGAGCACAACTTCTTTAACATTTGTAACTGATTCAGATATTTAACATAATACATAGTTCACCTCCTAACTGTATATGGTACTGGGTAGTCATTTAAATGCCTTTAATGTACATATAATGTATTTAGCGCAAGTACTGATACACATAAGAAATGCAACTCTTTATATAGTACCGAAAGGTCTGAATGTTAAATAAGTCCCAAAATATACTGATCGTTATCAGAGGAGCTTTTTCAGTTTCCAGACTTATATCTGTATTTCAGAGAAATCTTAGTCCTTTGTATACTGTTAGTTGATATCATCGAAAGAAAGTTATTTTTTAGAAATGACTCATTAGTATAGAATGCAAGTGTCTAAATTCCTCCTCTGATTTATGAGTTGTACTAACATTTCAAAACAGGTAACCAAGGCACTTTCAATTCTGAGTTGGAGATGATTACAGTTTCATTTAGAATGCCACATTTGCTTTGTCATAAGATATTAAACTTGATATGGTGTAATAAGATACTCACTTTGAAATTTTTTTTACATTTCAGCGCCAACCTGCATTTGATAGCTTTGAAGGTGCAAACTCTTTGTTTACGGGATACTTTCCACCACTAAATGAAGATCAGACACTTCAGGAAGTGCCAACAGGCCTTGATTCTATTTCTTTTGGTAAAGCATTTTTTTATAAACATAGCAGTTTTGCCATGCTAATTAAAGGAATTCCAAGTCATTTACACGAGAAATTAGAGAGGAAACAATCTACAGTTTATCAAAAGTCATTGCAAAAGTTCACATTTTAGAAATGTTTATATAGAAAATGATTTGATTGTGCACAAATCCTCATAATCATTATGTAGCCATAGTCGTGGTAGACAAGGAGAAATTACAGGTAAATCTCAACACAGTAGGGACCAGACAATTCACTGATAAGTACTGCAGTCATTAAGTGAGGGATCACATGCTGCACCTGAGTTTATGACCTTTTTTGCAGTGGTCATTAAGTGAATCACATGGTTCAGCGAATTACACAGTCATGAAATGAATCACACAATTCCCCATTGATTTTGCTTGTCAGAAGCCGACTGGGAAGGTCGCAAATGGCAATCATGTGACCCTGGGGTGCTGCAGCTGTCACAAATACATGCTAGTTGCCAAGTACCCAAATTTTGAACATGTAACTGTGGGGATGCTATGACAGTCGTAAGTGTGAGGACCAGTCATAAGTCACTTTTTTCAGTGCCATCGTAACTTTGAATGGACACTAAATAAATGGTCGTAAGTCAAGGACTACCTGTAGAAAGTAAAATCTGGATGCAAGCTTCTTCTTACAGAAAATTTAAGTTAAAATTATCAGCAATTCCTTGAAGAAATGCTTAGCTGAAAAACATATTGGGAACAATTACTAAATTTATATTAAATATTCCAGCTAGGATTTCCAGTATTTTCAAATATTGAAATATTATTTAACAGTTCAGAAGCTACACCACTGACTGGATTTATTTCGCCCTAAATAGTGACATAACATGATATTTAACCCCCCCCCAATTAACCCTTCTTTTTCTGCAGATTTTTTTCTCTTTGTTCTTGTTATGTCTAACATTGCAATTCCTTTGCTTTTCAGAATCAAACTCTTGTGAATTACCACTCCTAACTCCATGCAGTAAGGCTGTGATGAGTCAGGCCTTAAATGCTACTTTCAGTGGCTTCATGAAAGAACAGCACAGATTAGGCATTCCAACCAGTAAGTGTTTTTTTTTTAAAATTTTCTAATATGGATTAGGCTAATTAGTCAGTTCCTCATGAGATGGGTGGTGACCAAATTTGAAATATAAATAAAAATAAATAAATAAATAATTGGTTGTTCTAGCTTTTTTTTTTCCTTCTAGTGAAATAAAAACTTCACCATACAGTTCTCTTATCCTAAATCATTACTTGCAAATACATTCAATTCATCTCTGTAATGGTCACTTTCATATGAGTACAGTATGTTTAAGATTGTATCTTATATATTTACTGTTGTGGGCTGAGTTAAATATTAGGAGTTTTCACCCAAAAAATGTGTGGATTCAGGTGGTAATAAAAGGGATAGCAGCTATTATATTTAGTGTACACTACTACAGCTTCTTTTGGAAAAATATCTTGATAATGTAATTTGTTTATTTATTTGTTTTCTTGCATTCTGCAGATCCCTGGCTGTGGACACAGCATCATGTATGTCAGTGGCTTCTCTGGGCTACCAATGAATTTAGTTTAGTGAATGTAAACTTTGAGAGATTTGCCATGACTGGCCAAGAGTTATGCAATCTGGGAAAGGAGCATTTTTTGGAACTAGCACCTGATTATGTTGGTGACATACTGTGGGAACATTTGGATCAGATGATAAAAGGTGAATAAGCTAAATCAAAGTGATAGCTGGTTATACAGAATACGCAAACCAATAGTATTGTGACAACATTGAGAAACCACTTGTGAAAATTCAAAGTGAATTCTGACTTGCCAGTTATATGTTATCCAAAGACTGTTTGCTTTTGCTTCCTATAATATTTGAGGTTATCTTAATATGAGAATTGTCTGCTTTAAATAAACTGAAGATATAGATTAGAACTGATTTAAGCTGGATTCACATACTGTACTAAGTAAAAACCAAACATATTATGGCTTAGGATGTGTCAACCTAGCCACAAACATACTTGGAAGCAGATCCTTTGAAATCAGTGGAGCCCAAGCCCATTAAAACCAGCCTTAGCTAGGGAATCTCACTTTGTGACTTTGGACCAGTCAGCATCTCTCAGTTCAAAATAAAAGATTACTGTTGTAGTGAAATATTGAAGGAGAAACTGTCCTGAGCTGTTGGAAGGAAGGGTAATTAGTGTAATAAATGTAACAAATAAAAGCATCTCAGTGACTTAACCCTTATTTATTTGTTCATTTATTTAATAATTTAATATAGCCATCCATCTCACATATGTGACTGTGTGTGGCTTATAATAAAATAGATAAAAACAAATAAACTACATAATACAAAGTTACATATTATAATTTTAGAGATATAAGTTGGACTTAACTGTGATCAGTTAAGACCTTTTAAGTTCCAAAACATTAAATTGTTTTCAATATGGCAGGTAATTTTGGCACAACATATATTTTGGTAAAAATGCCATCACACATACATGACATATTCTTGAAGCAAATTCTCCTGTTTAGATACATATTTAAACACCTTTGTTTGTTTTCAGACAATGAAGAGAAGCCACAGGATCAGTATGTAGAAAATTCTCATCTTATTTCATCTCCACATTGGGTCAACAACAACTCTTTAGGTAAATTTAATTTCAATAATTACATTGTCAAAATTAGAAGTGTTCATTTTCCTTTTAATATGAATAAGTCTCCCCATTCAGTATCTATACTGAACAACACAAAAGGCCCTGGACTCATATACAAACTACAGAAAGTGCTGCTAATATATGTTTTAATTTCTGATTAGATTTTTCAAGTCAGGATTAGCCAGGTTTTTTTTTTTTCCTTTCGTTTGTTTCTGCTTTTTGGGGGGAGAGGGCAGTCAGTGAAAGAAGGGAATGGGAAAAAGTATTGATAAGTTTCAAAATTTTCAGATCAGTGACAGCTAGAAACTTGCAAAACAGGGACTTCCAGGGAAGAAATTGCAAAACAGAAGCTGATATTGAAATGCAAAATATCTCATGTGATATGAATGACTGGATGTACTTACTTTGCTTTGACAACCACTATACCCAATACAAAATATACAGTGTTTAACTTGATCAATTATAGCAATTGAATGTAAGAAATAGCTATTATTTCATGTCTTTGTGAATATTAAAAATATGATATATTCAGTTTTCCTTTGCTAAAGTTTTAGAATCTTGTTTCAATATTTTAAATTACTATGTTAAGTTAAACTATTAGCTACTGCAGATGCTTTAAAGCTTATAAAAGCAACTGTAGAAATCATGGAGGTTTATTAACATAGTTAATACTAGTGAGAGACAGAGCCATGTTATGTTTATATTTCACCTGATTCCCTCTTTCAAAACAGTATAGAGATTATTAAATGTTTTAATTCTAAAGGTTATAGAAGTAGTTTATAAGAAATCGTGTTTTTGTTTAGTTGAGAATATGGATAATGGTGGCATTTATTCACAGAGTGTCTCTTTATTTTTGTCCAGGAAAGCTCTCAAATAAAGTTATTTTTAATTGGGGTGTAGGTACTATTGTAGAAGTTAAAGGACTTATAATCACAATGTGTTTTCCCCCCCCACCTTCAGGCACTAATGTTGAACAAGTGCAGTATTGCACTCAAGTACCCAGCTATCCGAAAACTTTAAGCTTCCAAAAAAACAGAGTTCTGGGAGATTTATGTCAGACAACGGTTGGACCAAATCTTGTTAATCTAAAACAGGAATTTCAGATGTTTCCTAAAGCACAATTGGAAACTGTCAATGTGAACTTCTGTTCAATGAATCACGATTTCACAAGAAATAATCTGAACTTGGTGTTAGATAATACAAGTAAGATGTGCATTTCTTTGTGTTTATAAGTAATTATGTATTCAAATACCAGGTTGCTTATTTTTCTTTTAATAGCCCACTTCATTGTTTATGACTTAGTCATAAACTGGTATTGTTAGGTGATTTGCTTTAGTAATAATGCATTTTAATGGGTTTCATAGAGTCAGTCTTCACTTTAAATTGATATTTTTACTGATTATAACTGGACAAAGCAACAGTAACCTGGAGGGGTTTTTAAAAAGTATGATACATTTTTCCATAACTGTTCAAATTAGCATAATCAAATGCATGTGTGAAATTGAAGCATAGTGAAATTTGGGGGTCATATTCTCAATTTTAGCAATCCTAGTTCAATTATTTGTATGTTAAATAAGTACAATATTTTAAAAGAAGGAGAGCCTTCTCTGCCATGGCCCCTGCCCTGTGGAATACCCTGCCCCAAGAGGTTGGGCAGGTCCCTACTCTCTTGACCTTCCAGAAAGCAGGCTGGCTCTGCCAACTTGCATGGGGCAAAAAAAGGGGCAACCAACCCTGGGGGTGGCTAGCACCTTGAAGATGCTCCTGTAGGTTAAT